TTTCCAATGAAAGTATAATATCTGCATTGAGGAATGCTATATGTATAAAATACACTAAAGTTCTGAAGCCTTAATATGGAACAAAAAAAAAAAAGGCAAATTAATTCTTTTAAAGATTTAGAGTAAGGGCTCGGCGCCTGTGGCTCAAGTGGCTAAGGCGCCAGCCACATATACCAGAGCTGGTGGGTTCCAATCCAGCCCCGGCCCACCAAAAACGACAACTACAACCAAAGAAATAGCTGGGCAGGGGCGGTGCCTGTGGCTCAAGGAGTAGGGCGCCGGCCTTATATACCCATATACCAGAGGTGGCAGGTTCAAACCCAGCCCCGGCCAAAAAAAAAAATTGCAAAACAAATAAATAAATTCCTTCCTTAAAAAAAAAAAAAGAAATAGCTGGGCATTGTGGCAGGTGCCTGTAGTCCCAGCTATTTGGGAGACTGAGGAAAGAGAATCACTTAAGCCCAGGAGTTGGAGGTTGCTGTGAGCTGTGATGCCATGGCACTCTATCCAAGGTGACAGCTTGAGACTCTGTCTTAAAAAAAAAAAAAATTTAATATTTCAGTTTAATCTGTTTCCTTTTATTTTTAAAAAACATGGCTACTAGAACATTCTGAGTTTTCATATGAAGCTCACATTATATTTCTATTAGTGCTGACTTAGTCAATTTAAATAACAATCAGCACAAGGTATGATATGTTATCAAATACAATAACCACCATCTCCTCACCTAGATCACTCTCCTCACTTGATGGTTCCTCTGTCTTTATGTTTTCTTCTGCCTTCTTACTATCCGTATTTTCTTCCTGGCAAAGGGAAGATAAACATGCTATCATTATTAACATGCTATCATCATTAAGTAACATATCCAACACTTAAATTCTTCACATACATTGTATTTTTGTTGTAATGTTCTCGTCCTTGTTTTGTTCCACTGTTTCTCTTTTTTAGTTATTCGTCTAGTCTCTTATCCAAATCTTTAGGACGATACATTTTAGAACATAAAAATTTTTCTGTTTTATTTTAAATTTTTGTATTTTAGAAAGCAAATATAATCCGTTTATTACATAACCCTCTTGTCAGGTACCATAGTCCAAAAACTCTCCATAATCCAACATATTACTTACTATTTCTGCAAAATGAAGTTTGAACACTAAGTAGTATACAGACTAAAAATAATCCCATGTTCATATCCCATCTTAATGCCAAATTTATTAAAAATCTTAACATTTTCGAGGGTATTTGAGTTTTTGAATTTCAAAAAAGGAAAAAGTATCTGTGGAACTGTAAGACACAGTGAAAATTCAAAGACTTGGGCGGCACCTGTGGCTGAGTGGGTAGAGCACCAGCCCCACATACCGAGGGTGGCAGGTTTGAACCTGGCCCCAGCCAAACTGCAACAAAAAAATAGCCGGGTGTTGCGGCAGGCACCTATAGTCCCAGCTACTTGGAAGACTGACTCAAGAGAATCACCTAAGCGCAGTAGTTGGGAGTTTGCTGTGAGCTGTGACACCAGGCACTCTATGGAGGGCAATAAAGTAAGTTTCTGTCTCTTAAAAAAGAAAAAAAAGAAAAGAAAATTCAAAGACTTTAAAGGGACACATGAAGGAAAGCAAATTTCCTTCTCATCCTAAATATAACCATTGTGGTTGCTTATGTATCCCATTAAAGGATATTCTCTGCATTTGACAGTCGTCTGTACTTGGCTTTTCCATTCAACAATGCTTTGTATCTTGAAGAAATATACTCTAATCAGTCTACCTACATCAACTCCCCTTCAACTATATTACTATATCATTAACCATTTAGGTTGCTTCTCCCTTTGTTTCTTAAAAATTGGAATCAAAGTCCCACCTTATTACCTATCAATTGTGTAAGGAGGTATAAGCTTTACAACATACTGAAAAAGCCAGTCTAATTTTTTTTTTTT